CCAGAACCCCCACAACCCCCACCGTCCTTCCCGGGGCTTTATCGAATTTTCAAGTCGGTAACTCTGCCGAGTCTTATAGACGACCTCGGATCATTTTTTATAAATGATCGCAGGTCAAATTATACGTTTAATCGAAGCAGCCAGTCTTTGTGCATTCTGATGGGAATCTTAGTTGCGTCACGAAATCCAAAAGGTGAACATTCCTGCGATCCCTCGAAGCCAAAAAACTCTATAAACGTTCTCTCTCCCTCTCTCTCTTTCTCTCGCGCTTTAATGTCTTCATCATAATCTTGACGTGCATCGATGGTCGTATTAGGACAGGTGCATTCGAAGTCACGATGACTAAACTCAAAGAGACGAAATCTTGCGTAAGGGAGCTGAGCGCGTAATTAAAATCCTTCCAAATACCAAACTCCTTAAAATCTTTTAACTCTGACAAAGGAGCCGGTCGAATTCGGGGCGTTTTCCAGAATGTTACCAAAAGTCGTTATCCATATTAAACCGTCGCCGCATCCAATACACGTGACATCCTTATTTAGAAACGCCGTCACGATCTTTCGGTTTGTCTGCATCGCAGCGAATTGTCCGTATTTAAACTCGCAAACGAACTTGTAAATGGATCTGAAAATTAGATTAATTTTATCCCTTCCAGCCGAAGACTTTCGTATTAAAGCGCACGTGATATCTGTTTGTCTGTATTGAGACTTTTTAATTGGATTCGTGATCCGTTAGAATGAAGCAATGAGTGGGAGGGAGAAAGGAAATACATAGAGCAACAGATTTTCAGGCTAGATACACACTATGCGCTACGCTCTCGCCTTTCGGTGGAAACTCGGCTTAACAATTAGTCTCTTTTGGAATACTGGGTAAACGTTGAGCATCGTTCGGGACGCGAATCGAGGTCGCGCCAGTATTTCAGCCTGGCTGATTCTTCGTCGATTTAAATTCTTCGACGATTCTACGGTGTAAGCGCCCATCCCCTATATCTGTCAGCCCTTTTCAACCCTCGTTGAGGCATCCCCGTCTGCACCCTAACGAACAGTTTCCGATATTTCTCAGAGAACTTTGAATCGTGACCTTACTCGAAAGGTATCACCTTGAGCCACGGGAATGATAACTTTTATACAATCCAGGGAGACGGACGCATATTTTATGAGCCCTATAATACCCTCACCCCCGCAATGCCATAAGAATTAATTCCCACCCCCACATATTACGAATCCCTTGGAGAATTGACGCCAGCGACCAAACAAATGAGATGATTTTCCTCAAGGGTGTCTTCGTAGTAGAGACACGGAAAACATATGACTCGGCAACTGGCGCCGCGTCTGGCTCAACCTCGTACTAAATTCCGTAACGCAAACAACAGTCGACAGAAGTTCAAGGATCGTCGTTGATCGTCTCATCGAATTTAGCTGAACGGGTGAAACCGTGGGAAAGCGGAAATGACAAAGGCATCTCTATTACCGCCACAATGATAATTATGCAGCGCATTGCATTTTCACGCTACCGTAATGCACTTCAGCGCATCATGCTAAGTGACCGCGTAGTATAAGAAAAGGCACGTTAACCAATTTCCATGAGGCCAACAGCAGGCATCTATCGGAACCTATCTCTATCTCTAAATCTATCTCTTAAATGAAAGAAAATCACCGCGTTTCTTCAAAGTGACAATCGACGGATCCTAATACACCGCGCAGGACTCGTCGACACGTGAAAACTTTATTATTTGTGCCAACACGTTAAATTATGCATGCACAATATGCCAGCGGGGTTTGCCAAGGTAGATTGAGAGGACGGGGGGGATGAACGGGGTGCCGTCGACTACGCAGGGTGTGTTCCCTCCCTTAATTGAAACAACAATAAAGTGCAAACGGCGAACAATGAACGCACGCAATAACCCGGAGCTCTTTTCTAGCTCTCTGACTCTTCCGCTCTTCGCCGTTGGTGTTCCTGTTTATTGTTGGCAGAACTTGCAGGATTCCATGTCGACTCGCTGAATAACGTGAAAATATTATTAAATCCTGAGTTTAAAAAAACGTTTGTACAGTACGCGGCAACGTCTTGTTAATAGATTTTCCGAATAATTAAATAGGAGCTCATTTTATAGACACTCGACCAGCATTCCCTGCAAATGATAATATATTATATTAAATGTGCCCCATCTACTATAACTTTTCTTTAACGGTAATAACATCGTTATTATCAACCGTAATTGAAATTCGATGCAGTCGCGTTGCATTACATTAAAGTGGTATTCCACCTGTGACGAAGTGGCTCGCGAAATTCCTAAATAATTTAACGTTTGCGATATGACAACAAATGATTATTTGGTATATTATCCTAATTAAACATTAAACGTAACTGATACGCCCAGGAATGTTTGGCCAAGGATGAAAATGGACCACGGGATAATTCATGGCTCTATACAGGGACGATTAAATTTGACAGATCCCGCGGATGATTAGGATCCGGATCAAAGTCGACCGCTCGAAGCTTCTCATTGATTTATTTCTGAGCAATCGGGAGGCTGTGGGAGTAGTTGTAACAAGATGATCCTGTAAAGTCAAAGGGAACTGGCTGGGTAGGCATACATTAAGGTCCTTTTAGGATGTGGAGTGGGTTGACGGTATTCAAAGAAAGAGAAAAAAGGGTTAGAGAGCAGGCAGAGTAACGTAATGCTGACGCAGAACGCATTCCCCACTCCCCACTCCCCATTCCCTATTCCAGAGCTCAGGGCACGCAGCCCTTTAAAGGTTCGTTCACTCGAAGGGACTGGCTGCCCAACGTGAAAGGGCCAAAGGGTGATTCTCGAAGGACTGGTAGCAGCTGTCGATCCGGCACAGCCAGCAATTCCTGCTTTGCTTATCTCGCGCATCCACTGACCCGTATATCCATTGGCTGCCCGAATAAAGACGCAAGTTCTTCTGCCAAAGTTCAAGCGGCAGGCAAACGTGTCAAGTGATGAGTATATACACATGTGTACCCAGGGTCAAGGATCAAGAACGTTTATTCTGCTACCTGGGGAACAAGTAGCTTCGCCCACTCTCCGAATGTAGGTGTATGATTTATTGGTTTTCTCACGCGTGTGAATGTTTCACTGTCGATTCGGAAGCCCGATTCGCCGTAGTGGCTGGATGGGATGGACCGGTGGTAGGTGTGTGGGGGGGAGGGTGGGGGGGGTGGTAGAATTCCTGCGCTATGGCCGCTGCGCAGTCTTAATAAAGGTGGCGATTTATCGCTCGTAATAACGCGGTGCGGTCTGGCGTGCTGCTCGGCGGCGAATGTCTCCCGCGAAGGCTGGTGCTGCTGGCACCTTCGGTGGTGGCGCCCTTAGCCAAAGTTAGCCAAAGGGTTCACTGCGAGAGGACTGGGTTAAGGGACTGCTGCATGGTATATGAAGCACGTGCTTAATGTGTGCCTGTCGCCTTTAGACCGGGAGATTAACAATTCCGCACATTTCCGTGCTAGTCGACCGCGCTGATGTGGATCGTCCTGTAGAAATGGGGCTTGACAATAATGAGCGTCGGATTGATTAACTATCGCCTCGGGACGCTGGTACTGTCGACGACTACGTCGTCGTCGTTGTCGTCGTCGTCGTTTTCTTCTTGGCGATTAAGCACGTCGTTAAGGCTTGGATTGTGAGGAGGGAACGTTTAGGGTGGGTTTTAATTAATCGATCGACCACTACTAATAATCCTGCTGCGCTGGGAGGGAGACCTCGTCCTAGCTGCTGGGTCAAGGAAAATCAAGAGAAAATAAGAGGATAAGGAAGATAAATGTCCAGGAGAGTATCTTCGGTCGAAGTAAAGAAAGACAATTGTAAAGAGGGCGACCCGACTGGCCTGGACGCCCCATCGTCTTCCGTGACTCCAAATCCAACTGGATCTTCAAAAGGCACTCTCTGTCTCTCTATAGCTATATTTAAGTGCTCTTAAATGGAAATGGTACGTGCTCGGGTATGGAACGTATGGAACGTATGGGACGCATGGAAGGTATAGGGTATGTGTGCACTCACTTCTGAAGAATGGATGTCGGCAGGTGCTTTCCCACGAAGAGGAGAGTATCGTCTGGATGGATCGTTCATGGTCGGCAGGTTGCTCGAAAACCAACGAGAGGTCACCTGTTCAAGGGGTTAAGGAGCCGCATAAGCATTATTCATACGATGAATGCTCATCTTAAGTTATTCATCTCATGAATTAGTAAACGCGACGAAGAAACTCCAGCGCCCCGTTCGTTCGGCAATGAGCGATCGAGTCAGTGAGAACTGTCCCTCGTTTTACACTCTTTTTTTTATTCTTTTTCATTATTCTTTAAATCATCTAAGGAATTGGTGGAGCAGAAGCAAGAGACAGAGTCCCGCGAGTGCGTACGTGCCAAGTATATATTTTGTATAACAAGAAGAATGTCTCGCGTGTGCTTATCAGGTGTGTGGGAAGCGTTCGATGCGCGTCTCGTTGCGAGAAAATCATTCGTCTCGCCGCGATGGAATTTCCCGAAATACCAGAACACTCGGACTTTCTGCAGCTCGTCTCGTAGGAGAGGGCACGGGGGAGAGAGGGAGCGAATCTCAAATTTTCCCAGGTTGGAAAGATTTAAAGAGAAGGAAACCTGGGGACGTCTTCTCACTGGATGCTGTTCGCTGGTCGTGAGATCCGAATGTACCGGGTGAGCGATATGCCAGGAATAGATTACAAATGTAATATTTCAAGTGGCGTAAATAATCCGTGGCTCTGGTTTCCCCTCTTTTTCTCCCTGCCGACTATACGTATATGCACGACGCAGTCAGTCAGTAAAGGCACATCTAATTGGTATGAACGGCACCTTTTTTCTCCTTCTGTTCTCTTTCTTTCCTACCAGGTGGCTCCTAATTGGTCGGATACCGCGTGGGTGGCCTTGCGCTAATTGCACCTCACTCGCGCGATCCACACACACGCGCTGCTCTGTAGGAGCGACATGCTTCCGTGCTTTTTCCCAATTCCCCTTTTTTTCCCCTTTTGGCTTTTTTTTTCAAGGAAATGAAAAACAGTTGGACATCCGGTATCATTTAATTTTCTCTTCGCTGTTGAATCAGTCCAATCCCCTGACTTATCTTTGATGTTCCTTAATTTGATGTGGATAGTAATTTTTCTGATAATCCGGATTTAAGTCGTCGAATGTTTATCGTGTCGTTTATTTCCTTTCCTTTAACGTAAATTCGAGAATTTAGCTTTCTACAATTTGTTCATCTCCTTCGGTTTTTCTAGTATTTGACATTTGCTTATCCGATCCCTCTTCCTTGGGATAATTCCAGTCTTGCACACTTCCGGAACCCAGAAATACGAAGACCAACCATCCAACCAGCAGGGCTACTATGTTCACCCAGAAAACGTATCGCCATTGCGCAAACGTGTGCTACGGTATGATGTTTTATTTATCAATCGATCGACTTTCGATTAGGAACGAACTTACCCCATTTTCCGTGAGCTTGCCAACTAGCGCTGGCAATAGAAAAGCCGAGACGGTGCCTGGTGTGTTTGTGATACCCATGAGAATTCCAGCATAATTGGGAGCAAGGTCATTGTGATTACAGAGATGCCCGATAAAAATGGCACCACCAATGACAATGCTCAGACTCAAAAGTGCAGTAGCCGCTACCCTATTGCAACCTATGTATGCAATTATCAGGAGGAAGATACTGGGCGGTAGGCAGCCTGTGACAAAGAATCTAGACCGTTACGTTGATGAGGATCCGTATTCGTTTCGGCTACTCACTTATAGTGACGGCAATTTTTCGTGCAACCGTTTGATTCCAGTATCCACGGCTTCTACCTAGATCCAAAAGTTTACCCAGCAACGGATTTAAAAGAGCATTAATCAAATATGGCAAACAGCTGATGACAGCGTTCTGAAAGAATTCGAGATCAGGTGTTCGCGCCAATCCATTCCGAGATAATACCGGGATTGCTGTAGCACTTACCGACTTGATGTTGAATCTAAGCATTTTGTTCATGTAAAGTGGAAGTTGCGTGAGCAAAAAGTACCAGGAAAAATTGGCCAAAGTGTTAGTCAATATGAGGGCCCAAACTGGCCGAGACGTAAATATCCTTTTCCAAGGGACTCGGACTGACTGAGACGCAGGACTGCGATGACTGTAGGAATTAACGAGGAGCCGTCTCTCCTCCTCGCTTATATATTTCTGGCTCTCAGGATTGTCCGCGAAGAAAAGTGCAAACGTGACGCACCAAAGAAGAGGCAGTGCACCGTGAGTGTAAAAGATGGCTTCCCATCCAAGCGAATTCAATATCAAACCTGAGCTCAAGATCGAGATTACAGTTCCCAAGGACGTGCCGGCGTAAATGATTCCCGTCCACGTGCTCTTCTCCTCGTAGACGACCCACTTGCCCACCAATACGTTCACCACTGGCAGATTGGCCGAACTTACCAATCCGCTCAAGAATCGAAAAGTATAAAGAATTTGAATCCGGCTGGCCGCAAGCGGAACCAGCAGCGCGAAGATCGCATTGCACAGCACGCAACTCAATAGGACCCACTTTGCGTTAAATCTGCACAATCAGTTGTTACGTCTCGACACCGAACTGGAATCACTTGTTAATCCAAAGGCAAACAACGTCTCTTACCTGTCAGCCAAGTAACCGGAGGGAAACATGCCGATTAGATATCCAGCGAAGTATATGCTAATTATCAGACCCTGCTCCGTGGTCGTCCATTCAAATGGACCATCCAGATCGGTCGTGGAATCGACACTCGCTTCGTATTCCGGACATTCCCAAGAGTGTGTCAGTGTCTGATTGTCAAGTTGATTTTTAATCATACCGATTATTGCTGTCGATATGTTAACCTTTAACCCATAGATTATCATATTCGCTATGCACAGCATAATGGCAAAGAGAAATCGCACGACACCTGCCAACACATGAAATCGTGTTTGCCCAATCTCGACAAACGTAATTCATCGTATAAATTGCTGATTTCATCAAATCAAATTGATTCTCACCCATTTTTACAGTGAAACGAAAAATAAAATGAAACCCACGTCTTCAGCGTACAATTTTACGCCTGTTATCACTGTCACGCTTACTCACTGTATTTTCTGGCCATTGGGTAAATTCCCCCACGATCTTTTCAAGAAAGTAGACAACACCGCGACACGCAACGTCAGTGAAGAAGCATTAAGGCAAAGGGGCTCCTGTCTTTTAAGCCTTAAATATGGTAGGCAGGCTGGCTGGGTGCCGTGACGAAAGAACCTTGATAATCTCGCTTCGAAGGAACGTACCTTGAGGAAGGGGGACAATTTTATTCTCCGGGATTTATCAACGCCGTACAAATATTTAAGAATCAGACAAACAGCGGCAGTAAGCACTGCTAACCTATACGTCAGTAATATTATACGAGAATATTTGACACAAATATTCTGCATGTATATATATATATATCAGGCACGTCATTCCGTTGGTCGATGAGTTATAAAATTAATAAACGAACGTCAATCTGACATTGATCGTTGTTCGTCGATCGAATATCGTCAATGAATTTCAGATCTATTTCTTGCGAATTCTTGTGTCCGTTTATTAGTTGGATAATATAAGCGCCAGTGAAAATATAATGAATATAGCAGTGCAAGCGTCTTATCTGTTTACGTGAATTGTACGACGGGAGCGTTTTAAATCCCATAATTTGAGCTCCTTCGTAATATGCCGTCTGTATTTTTAAAGCCGTTATCTGCGGCTGACTCAAAGCTCGAAGTTCGTTCCCGTGTTACAGCATTCAGGGTGGGCGGACTAATAGATATTCAATGTCAAACCGCTGCTTAATATTTATAACCACGGTATAATAATAGAACGCCCCCGGCTGAGGAGGAGGACTTTTCTTTATAATATTCATTCGGGTCCTTTCGACTCCCCGCCAGGACGAAACAGTCCCTCAAACATTGACATCCTTGCCAGCCTTAGAATAGCTATAGAACTTTGGGAATTGCCGGAACGAATCCAAAAGGAGAATGAATCTATATATGTATACCCATAATGGTATACCTATATGTGTTACGTTATGTTCGAGCTCTTGCGCTATCGGTCGCATCCATCTTCATGGTAATAGACGCAGTGGGGTCTTAAGAAATGGGATCCTGAGGATCCTGAGGATCCTGAGGATGAGTGCGTACCACCACCTCGTAGCCTTGTACGAAGAATGAGATGGTCCAGGTGGGGGGAGGAGGGCAGCTTAATGGCGAAGGGCATAAAATGTCCGATCTCGCTTTATCGTTTATCTCGAATTCCCCACGAATTACTTTCCAGGACTTTTTCCTTTCGTCTTCTCTCCATCTTTTTTTCCACGCTCCATTTTGACTTTTATCGTTGTAATTCGTTTTAATCGAGAACGTGTGTTGTATCCCTCGTCTCGTTTCTCGTTATTCTTTTTCTTTTGGTATCTTGTTCTTTTTTTTCCCCTTTTTTCTTCGTTTTGTTGCTTCTCCTAAACGCGCATGACCGCGCGCGCTGAACGAGCAATTAAGAAGATCTTTTTCGTAGAAAACGGCCGAGCACCGTTTTCATCCTGTCGTAAAAGTGTTACGTCGTTACGGTGCACTTAGGAAATGGCCGTCGACTCGTGTCGTCGTGCCTCTCTTAACTTTTTATTATGATAATCCACTCGGTAGCACGCGATAGCACAATGCCGCTGACTGATTACGGAGCATTACTTAACCAAAAACCTGATCTCGACCTCGACCTCATCCTCGTCGTCATCCTCGTCGTCATCCTCGTCATGGAGTACGTCCAACGTCTTTACGAAACGTACTCCTCCTCGAGGACCTGACAGTTCTCATTGTTCCCTAGCTGTCCCTGGCTGTCCCTGGCTGTCCCTGGCTGCTCCTTCGCGAGGCAATCTGAACTTGCTTTTTTTTCTCAAAGATTCTTCAGGAACGAATCAAAAGAAAGAAAACCTATCGAATACACTGTGTTTTTTGTCAAGTGTCCACTAGAAATTGTCCCATCACGACTACTCGGAATTCGAAATAAAATGACAAAAGACTTTAAGTACTTGGAAGTCATATCCGACATAGGGAGAGGGTCAAGGGTGGTCCCTTGATCAGCAGCGAGGGAATCTTCGATCTTCGTTCCAGTTCCAGTCGAGTTTCAATGCAGTTTTCAATTTCGCTACGGTTCAACCGGAGAAAGGCAGGAAATGGCGAAATGGCGAAATGGCGAAGGTGACAGTTTAACGTTGCCAGCATTGTTGGATTCTGCCGGTGGTGGTGGTGGTGGTGGCGGCGGAGTTGTCGGTAACGTCGGTGTAGAGTGTCACTTGAAATATACGAGAGACGGATGGTTGATGTATGCGCGCATTAGTTACGTGAGATGTATGAGCTTCTGCGACGTCACTCTCCTCTGTCAGATTCCACCGCATCCCGACATAATCGTCCGACCCATATTTCCCACCGCAATGCGTCACCACTGATTCATCCTTCATTTTTCACGCACGATCGAGCCTAAATTCGTTTTCTATTAGCACCGGCAGCCGCTGAGTTTCCGCACGACACCCTGTATAATCGCGGATTCCACGCTCGCGTATATCCACCGCTTTATATGCCACGTCCTCTCGACACGTGTACACTGGAATTCCCGTCTCAGTTATACGAATACACGAATACACGAATACACGAATACACGAATCTTGCAGAAATGATGGATAAGAGTGAAAGAAAATGAAAGTGGGATGCAGCGAGTGTGGTCCATCGAGAGACACGGACGTCCGTCCTCCTGTCACCGACCAATAACGATAATAATTCCCAGTGGTGTCAAGCACGCAAGTAGGAAATCAAATTCGATCTCTCGTGTTCCTTTCGATCCTAGAGATCCATGGATTTTCAAGTGGACTTTTTTGAGTCAATCGGGACTTCGGAGAGGCGAACTCTGTGTAAATACTAACGATGATGAATGACCACTCTCTGCCTAACCTGACGTCACTCCTTTTCCCCTGACCCAAGAACTTTTCCAATAGGGAAGTTTCGCGTTCTCCAGGTCCCAGGGTCATCGGTTGGACCTTTTCCCTGGTGCAGGGGGGTAGCAGCGCCTTTCCTTCCATTAAGGCGCGATCGCATGGGGTTTCTAGTGGGCGACTTCGCTGCGTTAAAGAGAGGCTTTACGAGGGTGGATGCTTTGGCGTCGGCTCTGCCCCTTTATCGCATTAATGACTCGCGATATCTGGACAGCCGTCTGACGGGACCTGAATACGGTGCTCGCTACGCAGCTACATGTATCGTATACATCAAGGGAAAAGGGGTAAAGGGGAGACGGGGAAATTGAAGGAGGTTAACCCCATCTACTCAACTTACTACGGTCTCAAAGCTGCCGCTCTCTCTCTCTCTCTCTCTCTCTCTC